AAAAAAAAAAAAAAAAAAAAAAAAAGATGAGGTCAGGTGCTGCCTGTCTCCCTGATTTCAGTTTTGCCCACATCAGGGGACCCGGAAGCTGGTTCTCCTCTGTCTTGACTCCAGCCTCAGTCACACTGGGCAGAAACCACAGGGGTCTCTGGTCTGGAGGAATTGTCTCAGATCCATCATATATTCATTCTGCAAACACTGGCCAAGGGGCAGGTGATCTGCTTGGGACTTGATGGTTGTGGAAATGAGACCTTGATCTCAGGGTGCCCAGGTCAAGAGGGAGACGCAGACCCCCAGTTGGCTGTCAGGCGGGTGATACTGTGCTCCCACACCAGTGTGTTGCTGGTGTCCCCAAAGCCTGGAGCAGGAAGATCAGAGAAGTGGACTGGAGAGAACTAAAGGGAGGGTTGGATTGGACGGGGCAGTGAAGGGACTCCCTAAGCGTGAGGTCCCAGCCTGGGATCGTGGCGCCGGGCTGGAGGGAGGTGGATACCCTGTCCTACTCTCTGACAAAGTCACCTCAGCCCTTTACAGAGGAACTGGACGTTGTGACCAACACAGCTCCCTCGTCATTCCCACTACCTTCTGTCCTCCAAACCGCAGCACAGCTGTCGGCTCTGAGTCCATCCTGTGCCTTCCTCCCAGCAGAACCGGCCGGTTCTTCCTGTGTTCCCCACCCCCCACGCACACCCCCAGTCCCAGGTTGGGGACCCTAACGCAGATCCTGAGATGAGGACCCATGGGCACATGGTTTATTAGGAGGCGATTCCAGGAGAGACCAGCAGGGAGGGAAAGCAGACCCAGGGCGGGAGGGGAAAGAAGCCAAGCCAAGTCACAGAGGGCACCTGGCTCCACCCCACCGGATCCCGCTGGAAACTTGGGAAACAGTGTAGACCATGCCGGAACTGTAACCCTCCAGCAGACACTGGCTGCCCCTGAGGATGTGAACTACCGGGCACCTCCCCGTTCCCTGGAGCCTGGTGGCTAAGTGACTCTGACAGCTCCAGGACACAGGCACTGGCTGATGGGAATTTGAGGCCGCCAAGAGCTGATGTGACGGGGTCCTGATGGCATCCGTTTTGCTCTGCGCCCACTCTGTCAGCACCTGTCATTGTTTATTACATGCACTTGATCACAAACCTGTCTCTCCACTAGAAGCCACCCAGTGCCTGGCACATAGCACATGCTCTTATTAGAATGGTGAAGCCGGGCTCGGTGGCTCAGCCTGTCATCCCGCGCCTTTGGGAGGCTGAGGTGAGTGGATTGCCTGAGTCCGCGGGTTCGAGACCCGCCTGGGCGGTGAGACCTCATCTCTACAATAAATAAAAAAATTAGCCGGGTGTGGTAGCGCGCGCCTGTAATTCTGGCTACCGAGGCGGAAGGATCGCCGGAGCCCAGCAGGTCGAGGCTGCGGTGGCCGGGAGCGGCCACTGCACTCCAGTCTGGGCGACCGAGTGACACTCCAACTCAAAAAAAAAAAAAAAAAGAGTTTGGTGAATGAATGAATGAATGAATGGCTAATTGAATGGACCAAAGAGGATACAATAGCTCCACCCATTTTCAGCTGAAGAAACCAAGGCTCAGAGAGGTGAAGGACTTACCCATTAGCCTACCTGGAGTGAGTGGCACGGCCAGGATCCCATGGGCCCTTTGGCCAGGCAACCAAAGCTTTTGGGCGCGGCCCAGGCAGGGAGATGTCCCCTCTCTCAGCTCTTGCCCGTGGAGCCCCAAATAACCCTGACTCAGCTGGGCAATAACTTCTCCTTTCCAGACCGCAGAGGCCTCAGGATTTTCGAGGAAGCCTGGGGGGCGGGGTGGGGTCATATTTCCTCCTAGCTGTCCCTATAAAAGTCAGCAGGAGGGAGTTTGGGGTACTCCGCAAGCAACCAGGCTCGTCGTCCCCAGGTCCTCTCCTCCGGCACCCCAGTTCTGAGCCCTGAGCTGCCGTCTCTGCTCCCCAGAACATGGCGGGCATCACCACCATCGTAGCCAGCCTCCTGCTCCTGAACATCTGTGGCCACCACGTCGCCCCTGCAAGTGAGACTTCGGGCAAGACGCTTCTCCAAGGGCATGGCCAGGATGGCACGGTGGAGGGTGGAGGACCGGCCAGCCTGGGGCTGGGGGGAGCCCTGGGAAAGGAGCAGCCCACAAGTAGACTAGTGGTGTTCGGTGCAGGGAACAGGCTCCAAATCTGAGGCCCAGAGCTGAGGGAAGGCTGGGAAAGGACATGGCTCTTCTCTGTCTCCTCTAGGCCCCATGGTCATCCCCTCTGCCTGCTGCATGACCTTTATTTCCCAGAAAGTTCCTGAAAACCGAGTGGTCAGCTACCACCTGTCCAGCGGGAGTGTCTGCCCCAAGGCCGGAGTGATGTAAGTACTTCTCCTTGGATACCTGACAGGACAGGGCCAGGGGGAGATGCACCTGCAGGGTCTCTGAGAAGTAAAATCCACAGAACCCAGCTCTGTGCAACCCTGAGGAAGCGGCCTCTCCTCTCTGAGCCTCTAGCTTCCTCGCCCATAAAAATAGGAGGGGGATTCAGATTCAACAGTCATTGACTGAGCACCAAATAAGTACTAGGCACCATTTAAGGGGCATATATTATCTCAACAATTCTATGCGGTCAGGTGCAGTGATGCACACCTGTAGGTCTTAGCTGCTCGGGAGGCTGAGGTGGGAGGATCACTGGAGCCCAGGAGTTTGAGGCTGCAATGAGCTATCGTTGCACCCCTGCACTCCAACCTGGGTGACAGAGCAAGACTCTCTCTCAAAACACAAGCAAGCAAACAAACAAAAACAATTCTATGGGGGTAGGGATGATTGCCCATTTTACAGAGGGCAACTGAGACTCAGAAAGGTGACTTGTGCCAGGCTCGGTGGCTCAGCCTGTCATCCCGCGCCTTTGGGAGGCTGAGGTGAGTGGATGGCCTGAGCCCGCGGGTTCGAGACCCGCCTGGGCAGCGAGACCTCATCTCTACAATAAATCAAAAAATCAGCCGGGCGTGGTAGCGCATGCCTGTCATTCCGGCTACTCGGAAGGCTGAGGCGGAAGGGCCACCAGAGCCCAGCAGGTCGAGGCTGCGGTGGCCGGGAGCGGCCCCTGCACTCCAGTCTGGGCGACAGAGTGAGACTTCAACTCAAAAAAAAAAAAAAAAAAGAAAAGAAAGGTGATTTGCTCAAAGTCACACGGGTAGCCAAGTGTCTGGACTCTAGATAGCTTCACAGCTGCCTTTTATGCAAGTAGCTGACTTTGTCAATAGCGGTGTGCAGTAGAAATGTGATGTCAGTATGATTATTCATTCCTCCAACCCGGCCAGATGGTGGGTGCAGAATAGACTTGGAAGAAGGCATCCCAGTCTCCCTGCCCGGCTCTGGCATACTCATCAGTGACCCTTCCGTGTACAGTGTGTGAAACGGAGGACTCCGCCTTCTTCTGGGGGTTGTCATTGTGTTTTCGACACCCCTCCCCTCTCTGTGGGTCGAGCTTATGTCTTTCCCTTAGATCCGGTATAAAGGCGGGTTTGAGCCTCCCCTGTCTGACAAGGAGGCCCCGAATGCATTCTGACTACCTCAACCCACCCCATTCTTCTCCCAATCCCCCCAAAGAGACACAGACACAATGGAAGACATCGTGTCAGTCCTTGCTGGGAGGCCTGGCAAGCAGCCTCCCCTCTCTGGGCTTCCACCCCACCTCCCGGGAAAGTGGAGCGGCCCAAGCTCCCTGCCAAGCCCCCGCTGAGCCCTTGTCACTTTCCCTGCAGCTTCACCACCAAGAAGGGCCACAAGTTCTGTGGCGACCCCAAGCAGCCGTGGGTCCAGAAGTACATGAAGAACCTGGATGCCAAGCGGAAGAAGCCTTCCTCCGGAGCCAGGGCAGCGGGTGCCAAGAGTCACCACCGTGGCCACAAAACCACCATCTAAGCACGGCCCAGCTCTCCAGCCCTGAGCTTGGGCCTGGGCCTGGGCTGCTTGACAGGCTGCTCGGGGTCTGGGGAAGCCCGTGGTGATGGGAAGAAGCTAATTTTCCTGTTTCTTAGCAATGCTCTCCAGGGATGTGTCTATTCTATGAAAAACCCAAGGGAGCAAGTGAGTCTGGTCCCAGGGAACTGAGTGGTGGCTCCATGCACCCTGGCCCCCTCGACTTCCCGGAGCTGGGTGAGAAGGTCCTGGAAGGAGGGCCGTGGCAACACTTTGCCTTCTCCTCCCGACCTGGGCCTGGTCCTTCTCTGACTCCCAGGCTCCGTCAGAGCCCAGGTACATGAGACCCAGGTACCTGCAGGCACACCTTGCTCGCATTGTAGTTGGCTTCTCTGGCCTTGTGGTGGGCCTAGATGCTGTCTGACTGTTTCTATCTGGGGGAGGGTGGCCTGTCAACAGCTGCAGCTGTCCAGCAAGTTAGGATGTCCCAGGCTGGCCCCATTTCCAGCACTCCGAGTAAATAAAAACCAGACAAAAGTGGAGGGCCCCTTTGCTGCATTCCCTGCTGGATTCCAGCCCTCCCTGCACACTTTATGGTATGCATGGGTTACAACGTAGCGAATTTTCAGGCACTTACTGGTTTTTGCAAAGAAAAGAACATGAGGATAAGGGTGAAAAACCAGCCGGGGTAGTGAAGATATGACTTGGAGGAGGTGTTCTGCTTTGTGACACAGTTTGCTCTAAGCTGCTTTGGGGTCAAAGACCTGCTATGCCTTTAAAGCTGGGTTTGCCCCACATTTTCGTGAGGGGAAGATGGGGCAGGGGCTGAGGGGAGCGGGGAAGACCCAGCTTTCTTTTTTCTATGCATGAGACACTGTGTGGTTGGTTTGTCAAGAGTGAAACATAGCTGCTAACTCTCAAATAACAGTTCAAGTAAAATGTGATTTCTTCTTTGAAGGTGGTCATGTCTTGCCTGGTCTCATCTCTCTTGGGGGCAGGGTTGGGCTGTGAACAGTGGTGGTGTGTACTCCTGAGAGCAGCCTGGGCTGTCCATCCAAGGCTGGGAGGGATGGAGCCTGCCCGAGCTTAGGCCATCAGGAGTGGGAAGTGATCTCAGTCTATTCTTGGGAGTCCCAAGAGCACACATGCTCACCTGGGTTCAATTCAATGTTTAAACTATTTCAACAAAGCACATGATTGCACAAGGAGCTATTACAGGCACTAGGAGGCTACAAAATTATAAATGATGGTCTCTGTCTTCAAAGGATTAGAGAGAAATATAGCACACATGCATTCACAAACCAAGAGCGCTGTGGGTTCAATACCAATCCTGCTTTGTGAGTTGCATGACCTTGCAAAAGAAAAGGTCTTTTGGCCGGACTCGATGGCTCAGCCTGTCATCCCGCGCTTTGGGAGGCTGAGGTGAGTGGATTGCCTGAGCCCGTGGGTTTGAGATCCCCCTGGGCAACTTGGCAAGACCTCATCTCCACAATAAATCAAAAAAATTAGCTGGGCGTGGTAGCGTGCACCTGTAGTTCCAGCTACTTGGAAGGCTGAGGCGGAAGGATCGCCAGAGCCCAGCAGGTCGAGCCTGCGGTAGCCGGGAGCTGCCACTTCACTCCAGTCTGGGCGACAGAGTGAGACTCCGACTCAAAAAAAAAAAAAAAAGAAATGCATTGCCATGGGAGCTTGATGTCATGCGAACATCATGGAGTGTACTCACAGAAACCTAGATGGGGTAGCCGACTATGCACCTAGGCGGGGTGATCTAGCCTATTGCTCCTAGACTGCAGCCTGTACTGGACACCACGGGCAATTGTAACACAGTGGTATTTGTATATCTAACTATATTGAAATGTTAAAAAGTTACAGCAAAAATACGGTATTAGGCCGGGAGCGGTGGCTCCAGCCTGTAATCCCAGCACTTTGGGAGGCCGAGGGGAGGGATTGCCTAAGTTCAGGGGTTCGAGACCAGCCTGGGCAACTTGATGAGATCTCATCTCTACAAATCAAAAAATTAGCTGGGCATGGTGACGCGTGCCTGTAATTCCAGCTACTTGGAAGGTTGAGGTTGAAGGATTGACTAAGCCCAGCAGGTGCCACTGCACTCCAGCCTGGGCGACGGAATGAGACTCCAACTCGATGAAAAAAATAGATCTTGACCGATTCCCCTATGAATGGGTCAGTTAGGTTGCTGCCAGTTTTCTATAACTACAGATGGGTGTTGCAATAAACATCCCTGCCCATGCACCCCTGTGCACCTGTGCAGCGTACCCTCCTGGATGTGGAATTGCTGGGTCAGCAGGTTTAGCATTTTAATAGATGCTACCAGATGGTCCTTCAAGGAGCTCAGTCCCATAGAGACTCCTGCTGGTTGGGCGACAGAGTTCTAGCTTCTCCCACGCTCTCAACCCTCTTCTACACTGGTCCTTGTCTGTAGTCACACCAGACTATGTAATTACCCAGGGGAAATAAATGAAGACCACCCGAATGAGAACTAACACTTTATTCATTCAGAACTTGCTAGAGCAAAGGGGTCAGCCACCATCCCTTGCAGCGGCTTAGAGGCAGGCAGAGGAGAGGGAAAGCTTTAGAGTGTGGAAGAGGGATGCTTCAGGGAGATTTGATCGGAGGTGATTGGCATGGGAAGCTGGAAGGTTACCTGGAAACATCCTATGTGTGTAGTTTGGGAGTACAGTCATGCGCTACATTCTGACATTTTGGTCAACAAGTGACTGCATAATATATGACAATGGTCCCATAAGATTATAATGCTGTATACGTATATATTTTTTTGGAGTTGGAGTCTCACTCTGTTGCCCAAGCTGGACTGCAGTGGCACGTTCATGGCCACCCCAGCATCGACCTGGGGTAGCACAATGACTTGAGGCTCGGTGGCTCAGCCTGTAATCCCAGCACTTTGGGAGGCCAAGGTGAGTGGATTGCCTGAGCCCACTGGTTCAAGACCAACCTGGGCAACTTGGTGAGACCTCATCTCTACAATAAATCAAAAATTAGTCAGGCATAATGGCACACACCTGTGGTTCCAGCTACTTGTAAGGCTGAGGTGGAAGGATCACCAGAGCCCAGCAGGTCGAGGCTGTGGTGGCCGGGGAGCATGCCACTGCACTCCAGTCTGGGCAACAGAGTGAGACTCCAACTCATCAACCAAAAAAATTTCTATGGCAAGTCAGGCCTGGGTTCTGGGACAGAGGAGGTATACCTTTATTAGCACTTTCCATGGTGTTTGAACTTTGTATTGTGTGCATGTGTCACTTTTCTGATAAAACTGCTTTACAAAAACTGTCAACGTGCTGCCTGGTCCCCTTTTCCTTGAACTGCGTCCGTTAGTGTGTCTGACATCTTCCTGCTGCAGCTCTGGGCCCCGGTGCTTTATCCCAAAGGCTACTCTGCCGCATCAGGTCAGGAATGTCGGGGAATCAAGACCCCCCAGGGCAGTCCTCAACTGGTGACTGAGGGAGGGGCCATATCACCACCTCACTCTTCAGTTGGCATGACCCCAAGGCACCCTCTTGCCTTAGTTTATCTGCTTCCTAATGAGTAACTGGCCTGATGACACACTCTTATTGGTTATTGGTCGCCTTCCCTCTCTGCTGGTGTCTCCGTACTTCTTAAATAAACTACATACTCCTAAACCCCTGTCTCGGGATCTGCTTCCGGGAGAAACCAAAACAAGCCAACTGGTTCCAATGACCAAATAAAGGGGGGGAGGGGGAGAAATCCTGGGCTTGGGGGTCGAACGGACCTGAATTTGAGGCCAGCACTGTCAGTTTCCGACTGTGTGACCCTGGAAGAAGTTCCTTGACCTCTCTGGCCTCAGTTTCCACATCTTTAAAATGGGCTTAATGGAAATATCTACTTTCTCGATTGACTGTCAGGACGAAATTAGGCAATGAATGCATAAGAAACACTTAGTAAAGGCCGGATGCTGTGGCTCACGCCTATAATCTCAGTACTTTGGGAGGCCGAGGTGAGAGGACTGCCTGAGCCCCTGGGTTTGAGACCACCCTGGGCAAATTGGCGAGACCTCATCTCTACACTAAATGAAAAAATTAGCCTGGCATTGTGGCGCTTGCCCGTAGTTCCGGCTACTTGGAAGGCTGAGGCAGAAGGATCGCCTGAGCCCAGCAGGTCTCAGTGACTGGGAGTGTGCCACTGTCCTCCAGCCTGGGTGACAGAGTGAAATTCCTACTCAAAAAACAACAACAACAAGAAGCACTTAGCGAAATGTCTGGCACAAGATAAACCTCCATAAATGTAAGCCGGGCTGAGCCCAAGCTCAGCTGTGAAGCAGAGAAACTGGAATAGATCCTGCTCTGGCCAGGGCACCTGGCAGACACTTCTGTGGCCATCCTAGCTGGCCCTGTGCTCCCTGCTTCCTCCTGTCTCATTGCTCTGGCAGCCACAACGCCTCTGGATAAAGCAGGCACGTTGGAACGATGGCCCTTGGGACACCTGGACTGCCCTCACCTGGCCTTGCTCTCGGGCCTGAGCCTTGGGCACAAAGGGCCAGTCCCTGGGTGAGAAGGTCATATACTCCATCCTGCCGTGTGTCTGGGCCGGCTCCTCGCAGGATGACACGTGCACTGGGTCATCCACACTCTTTCTCCAGCCACCTTGGGAAGGAAGTATCTTGGAGATGGGGGCTGTCAGGGCTTGGCTGGTCAGGGAGGGACTGGGCTCAGTCTGTGGCGAAGTTAGGTCAAAACTGTCCTGTGTTTGGGAGTCTCCCTCGCCCCCAGCAAAATCTGTCACGGGATTCATGAAAACTGAGTTAAACGCTCTGTAGAGAGCACATGGCGGGTGTATCCAAAGTTCCATCGTAACCCAAGGGTGGGAGGAGAAAGAGCAAAGCTGAGTTCTTGAGCCCAAGGTGTGAGAGAAGGAACAAGGGAGACACAAAACAGCAGTTCTCAACCCTGCCTGGGATCCTCAGTAAAGTTTTAAAAATGCAGAATACTGGGCTCCCCTCACCCCTGAAG